AGCAGTGTTTTGCAAAACTTTGGAGAGGATTCGCTTGCGAAACCCTGTAAGGTCAGCTTCTTAACAGCTTAAAAATTGAAATATACAGAAAAAGTTTATGTAAACGATAAATTATCCTTCACACTAATGAGCTCCCACCTGACGAACACTGGACAAAGGCCGGAATGACAGGATGCACGTCTGATGGATTCCAGCAAGTGGCTCATAAGTATTTCAGCCGATATATTACTCTTGGATGCCAAATTAATAAGTTAGACTGTCAGCACTTTGAATAGCTCGTAAAAAAATATTATTCCTCAGTTTACTTTCAATAATTATTTGAAGATACATATTCTTCATGGTTATATTTAATAAACCACCGCTACTTGTAATTGAAATACACTCGACTTTTCGACAGCCTAAACGAAAACCTTTACCGACTGAAGTGACTTGGACATGTATCACGCATGTTGCGTCACCACCTATACCGACGCGCAATGTTAGGTGAATTAAAATTGGGTTGGAAGAAAGCTGAGAGTGACTAAACCAAGACGTCCCACTAGTTCATGAAGTTTCTGACTGTTAATCTGAACCGTATAGGGAGATGTGATCTGCGTGACTGGTTTCATCGAGGTAATCGGAATGATTGGAAGGCCCTAATGACCTGGCTCAAAATTGATCGCAATGGGGCCTACTTACTGTTTACAGTCTTAAGCTGGAACATTTTCTCTAGCCTTGATTTTCAAATCTGCCATCCCAATGTTTTGGATCAAGAAATTTCTGACCCAAGAAACATTCTGATGGAAAGTGAGTTCCCATCACGCTTCGTGGACAAAAATATCAAGCCAAAACCGTACAAGAAGCACCCTACCACCGTGCTAAAACAAGTGCTATATATGAATCTAAATTTCAAACATGATTCTGTCGCTGACCCTCTGAACAAGAGGATATCAAGCTATCTGACTGACAAAATCACCATGGAACCTCGCACACAGGTGCATTAACTCAAGTTGAAATACCTCACAGTAGTACGTAATGAACAGGTGGATAGGAAAGGAGTGATTTCAAAGCAGTATGAGAAAATAAACAATCTGAGCATAAAGGTTAGTGTGAATATTCCAGCTTTAGAAGATGTCAAGACGTGAATAAGTCTGCGCCATGGTGACCGATTTTCAGCCCTCATTCAAAGAATATTCATCAAGCTTTTTGAAAAGAACATTCTATGCATGAACGTCGAGATTAGTATTACCCTGTCACCCAATGTTTCCTATCAACTTCAAAGATAAACTATAGCATTTGACTACCTCTGTGTGCGTTTATCAATTCACGTGCTCTGGCAGAGCCAGGTCTGTAGGTCTTTCGGTACCAATATTATCCTAAATAGGCCCAAGAGCACCGTCCCGCGTGGTTAGAAAGAGATGACAGTGGGTCGATAAGATATGCTATGACTGAACACGGGTGATTATATCACGAGAGCCACGTCATTCAAAGTTATTAATAAAGTGAAATGAAACCTTCCACAAGCTGTATGTTTCATATTTTTTGGGTCGCTGAAGTTCCCTCCATTTATATGGTGGAACTTTAGCCTTTTACTTGAAAGAAATCTGTCCAACTTCTTTCAGACTGTGAAGTCATATCTTTCTTTCTACATTGTATGCTTCTTACTTAATTTACCATTCATTCTGGTTTCTATCCTCCTCCTGGTCAGATTTCAGTTCCCAAATATTTTGTCATCATTACGAAACCTCTTATCTGAACTTAGTCATATTTTGATTAGCCTCCACTATTCATCACACTTTTGATTTGAATGACAGCTAATGTATTGATACAATTTTTTTTGGCCATTTTTTACAAACCACTTTTAACTATCAAACACTAAAACAAGAAAAATGTATAAATTTGCAGTTGTACAGTTTTGAGAATGAAATAATCGAAAAGAGACTCTTCCCTGAAATACTTTTTCATTTCAATGAAGCGAAAAACAGTGATTATATTTTGTAGGCTGTAGATGCGTATTTAAACAGTAATTGAATGACCTCAAGTGACACCATTTGCAAAGAAGGTTTTCTATTCGTCGGATGATTAGCCCAATTTGTCAGGAATAGAGAAAGCTCTATAACTAAACAACTCAGCTCAGAGAACACAACACAATCAAGACCAGCTACAAATATTCTCCACCATAGAAAAGTCCGTTTGAAAGTGTCTGGGAATGAGGACTGAAATCATGAACTGTATAAGCATTTCGAAACGCTAGAGGATTCACAATAGCCTGTTATATATTTTCAAGCTTATACGTCTATGTGAACATACATAATAAGGTAATAACAGAAGTTGGACGTGGATTAGATAAGAAAAAAGTTATGTCACGTATCCTAGTATGAACAAATGATACCGCAGTGTTTAGGCAACAACGGGTGTTATCTTTTCAATACTCTGATTTCTGGGTTGGTGTTGATCACGGATCGACACCAGCTAGAGAAATATTAGAAACCTTAGAGCGCTGGGCAGCTGTTTTGTCCTAGTGTGTGACTCCTTAACAGTGCGCATCCATAACCCCTCCAGGGATCGAATTCACGGCCTTCAGGTTTCGCGATCGCGCCATATTGTGAACTAACAGAAGTAGGAAATATGGACCATTGGGCTCCGACCCAGTGGTCAGTGGTAACGTACTGGCCGCGGAACCTGAAGGTCCTGGGTTCTATCCCTGGTGGGTGGAGGTCCATGGGTACGCACTGTTACGAAGTCCCATACTAGGGCGAAACAGCTGTCCAACGCTCCAAGACTTCCAATGTTCCTCCAACTGATATCAGTCCATGATAAATACCAACGTGAAATCACTAAATTCCCACCAACCTCAAAATTAAACTCTAAGTTTTGCCGAGTTATCAATAATATCCGTTGTCTTTTCACCATCTTCTATAAGTTGGACCTTATTGGTATCTAATGCGTAATTCACTCAGTTCAAGTGGTATCACTGGCCACGACGAGCATTATTATTATAACTGCGGTTAAATAACCGGTTCAACACTTGTTTGGCTGTGTCTTTTAGGAGGACTTTCATGCTGTGACTATTCTTGTACAGTTTTATGTCATTTGAATTCATTGCGAGTCGGTACAGGTAATTGTAAACAAACCTGGGAATGTTTCCTCTTAAATATAATTCGCTATATTTGTTGGTTAGGTTTCTTTTCCTAGCTACTCCAAATAACTATCTCCGCTCCCAGTATCTGCAAGATATTTGAAGCGAAGATCAAGAAAACTGAGATATGACACACGAACTCCATTAGGTGTACGCTTATATTAAAATTATGATTTTAGGGTTATCCAACACGGTACAGTTTTACCATCCATCGCGTATCCTACCAACCCGTATCGTCCACTTTTTAGTGTAGATCAAAATAATATTTGTTGAAAGGTAATTCACATCGAACTGTACTAGCAGCTTTAAATTCTCTTACTGAACAATGCAAAATCGTCATAAGATTTTTTGAAGATTCAACCTTCGATTTGTATGAGCGACAAACTCCCAAATTATTATATGATGAGAAAACAGTTAATACGATTAACGATATCTCTTAAGTGCATACCTCTTGAGGTACCCAGACTTTAGATCGAATTTTATTTAATGAAGATACTTCATCCCAAGTAAGGAAACAACTGTTATACAGATGGTGTCGACTTCGTAAGATGACGTAAATTCTTAAATGAATCTAGGTCAACAAGGGTTGATCGTAGTTAGTGAGAACAACTGCGAATCGGATACAAAAAATTGTTAAAAAGCAACCACTAACTGTTTGATATTTAGCATTTTTGCCTAATTGTAAATTTTTATCCAGATTTACAATGTATTGGATATCACTATAAGGCAACAGAATAAAGCATTAATTTAGATAGCTTTAAGAAATGTATTTGGAAAATAAAACTTTTCAAATCTGTTTATAATGAAGGTATTAATTTTAATTCCAATGAAGCTAATCTTTGTAGGTAATTGAATTTATGTTCATTACGCCCCCAACTTCTAGGGTAAACATTTAGTAGTATTCGAACGTTTGTATATTCACTGGTGGTATGAAAAATCAGTCAATGTACTTCGATAGGGGATCTATGATGACAGTCTTAAGAGATTTTTTTACTTATCATCCCATTTATGAAAATGGCTAATATTGTATAGTAGTTAAGTGAGAAAGCATCATATGCCTTTCGTGGAACATTATTCGTTAACCATTTTGTTAACAATTTTCTGATATAACTCTTAGCAGTACAGAAACTTCCAATCAAAAACATTCACTCCTGATGAGATTTTGTTAGTAAGATAAACTGTTTTGGAAAGTTGCACCAAAACACTGTCAATGAACTTACATACGAAAGATGTTATAGTTGATATCTCTTATCGTTTAGATATCAAAACGTAGCTAGCATTATTTATGAAAATTTGTTTTGCTGCACTGAAGTTTTTCATCCATTATCACAATCTTCCAACCAGGTTCGAAGAAACTACACTGTACTTTTCGCGTCTCTTATAAAGATTGAAAATGGTTTTTCGATGTGAAGAGACGGGAATGTGATAACTATCCCTTCAAACAAGAAGGTCTTATCCAACTTACGATTCATTTGAAAAAGTCAATATCTCGCACCTAAAAGTAACGAACGAATATCACAGCTCACCAATTATAACTGATGGCTTTGAAGATTCCCTCACTGAACCTTGTTCTCCTTATTAAGCAAATTCATTATCGAAGACCTGATGGTTCAAAGAGTTTGGATAACATAATTAGAAGGCATAGTATATCCGAAAAATAGGATGTGTTTACATCATACATTTCGAATAATCTGGTCACACATTTACTTGTTAAGGCATTTTATACGAAGAGGGGAAAATATGAAAATGAAGAGTGTAGTATCCCTTTGACATATTTGAAAAGGCTGCAGGGGTTGTGTAGTGATAAAATTACTTCCACATTTGAAGAGGAACATTTCTGGCAAATGGATAGCGTGGCGACAGGCATTCCTCTAGGACCATTGTTAGCTGATATTTGCATGCCACATATTGAAAAATCGACCGGTGGTCTCATTATTAAAGTTACTCTTTATAGGAAGTATGTTGATGATAGAAATGTATTATGACAAACAAAAAGATTCAACATGCTTGCTAAGAAGACTTAACACGTACATTATAGCTTGTGTTTAACGTGTGCAGAAGAAAAGTACAATTTTTTAGCGAATATTGTTCCATAAAACGTTCGATCTTTGGGAAACTAACTTGGACAGGGCAGTATTTACGTTTCCATACCTTCTGTCCAACTCAATACGAGGAATGTTTGATAAATTGCCAATTTTACTGAAAACCCGATGGATAGGGATGCCAAAATACCAACTGAAATATTAATAGAAAATGGTTATCCGCTGAAAATCATTAACCGTCGTAGAAAGTAATCACATTTGAAACCTATTCTGTATTCTGGCCCGAAAAGGCCTTTATATCAAGCTACCTTACAGAGGGGAATCTTATTGCATAATACTTAAAAGAAGCCTATAGTCTGTCGTTAGCAAAGAGTAATATGCAGTTAAACTTATCGAGGTTGCGAAAACCAAACACATGTTGGAAAACAGATTTAACCACTGTATAAACGATTGTGTGAAATCCTACTACGAGCACCAGTCAACATATGTGTGTGGACACACCACAGAGAGGATTAGTCGAAATGTGAACTTGAGGGGTATGGAACATGTACCAAATCAGTTACTAAGGTAGCTGGATTGAAAAACATAGATAAGTTCAGATGGCAGACAACCATCAGTATCCATTGCAAACGCATGTATTGATGAAAGTAACGGGAATGATAATTCGACAGCCTGTACAATGTAGCTCAGAAATTGTTAGGGATATATGCTTAGGTTTGTTGATACTCTAATCATACACAATTTAAGCCGCTTCGTGTGTTCAGAACAAGTTTATCCTTGTGCTAAACCTACTCTAGTAATTTTTATCTAATCGTGTTATCAAGGTTGGCTTCAAAATTTATTAATTTACCTTCAATACATTATTATTACATCCCCTATTGTCATATTCGTACTTCTTCGATTTTCATATAAAGTGCCTTAACAAGTTAATGTATCATCCGATTGCTCGAAATGTGTGGTATAAAGACGTTACATTTTTTGAATAAACTACATCTTCTAATTAGATTATCCAAGTTTTAAGCTTTTGTCAGTAAGCCAGTCTTGTTTTGACGCATAAAAGAAACACACTGATTGTAACGAATGAGCACTTCTCTTGAGATTAACTATATGATCAAGCGTCTACTCGATAGTCTACATCTACCTGCTCAGTTCAGACCAGCAGTCAAAAATCTCTTCCAGCCTTCTTCGAATTCATCATTGGCTAACTTTGCACACCCATTTAGGTGCTGGTGCAGCAAGTGCAACACATATTCAAGCCACCTAAGTTACTGGAGGATCATAACCTCATCTACTAGCTTGTGTCCTTTGTCTAGTAACCCTCGCCTAACTTCGGTATTGCTCAACAGTAATTCCACGGTACAAGATAAGTGTTACGAAGACCCTCGTCTTCGAAAATTTGTAATCCTTTCATTTCTTTTACTTTCAGTGGTCACATCTCAGCTGCATAACAGGATATAGTGGACTGCAGTGCAGCATACTCATTCACTAACAAAGAGTCGGAAATCTTGCCAGCACTAGAGATGATACAGGTTAACAAACGTCAAACTGGGCTTCTATATCTGAACAGAGATGTCATCAACAACTAGTCCATTTGAGCTGCTGCAACTCCCCAAGTAATTGAATTCGTCAACTCATTCTACTATTTCATTCACTATGCTTAAACAGAAATAGCTGCAAGCCAATCCTGAAGTCTCATCTGACGTTAGACAAGTACCAAACGTACTCCAAACATAATAAAATTTCCGCTTAAGGTGTTCAGCATACTTCTCATTTTGATAAAGCAGAATGAAGATGATGATGGTTTGGTGTTCTCTGAGCCTGGTGATGTCTTCAGCACTTACGTCATAAAGAAGTGAAGCATATTCAAAGTTTAAGTGAACCTTAAGGTGATATTTTTCCTGACCTTTAGTGTTGTTCATTTGTAAGTTGATGAAGAGATTATTTCCACACCTTGATCTCCTTGGCCTTACGTTTAATTTGATCAAGCTTAGAGAGAATCTTTATCAGAGTGAAGCCTTATTGTCTGCTACTAGCACACTGTATTTCACTATTGATTTGTTTGAGTATTATGCACTTGGTTGATAGATGGTTTAGATTGTAGATTGAGTCAATATCCACATATTTATTGGAAAGCCAGGCTTCTAGGAATACCGTCACAACTTTCGAACCTACCCTTCTGAGGATTTCCAGATTCTTCCAGTTGAATATGTGGTCATGATTGTCTTCGTGCATTGAAACCAGGGATGTTGCGTCATGTTACTTTACCTCTAGTTGATATGTTCTTGATCTCTTCGAGCAATCCGAAGGCTAAACTGGCCAGCGTAGTGTTATGAACAACCTTTACAACTGACTTTTTGGATTACATTTTTCCATCTTCCTTCGGCAACGGATCCTTCAACTTGAACAGCATGTTATGTAATGATATCGTCTATTTGTGTTGAACTCCATTCCGGAATGGATGAAGCAGTCAGTTGGAAGTCTGTGAAACATTTTTCATCTTGGGTGGAGGAATGCGCCTATTGATTTTAGGTATTTGTACTATTTTTTCCTGCTGATAAACATCTCTGATAAAGTTAAGTGGATAATTGTTGATTCTGAACACTTTATATGGGTATTTTCCTTCCACTTTTCGTTGTTTTCAGTACTGCTATGCACTTTGACTCCTAAGGATGGTTTTCAAGGAGTATTCTTCACATACTGATACCAGTTGCAGAGCCACTAAAAAATCTGGCAGTAGTGAACACTTTTGTCTTTGTACGGAACTCCTCAGCAGTAAGCGCCCATGACCTAGCCAGTGATTGAGTCCAGAACGGTTAGATCACCTCATGAACCTACTAAGTGAGTTGATGTACGACGCTCATTCGTAACATGCTTCGAGATGGATTCCCTAGAGTTCTAATTAAAAACCCATATTCTGTAGGGTCAAAACGTCAGGTACGATGACAAGTACTCATCGATGGCATTGGATGGAGGTTGCGCTACATCATGAATTGACAAGAGTGCGTAAAATATTGACCATTGGATTCGAACCCAGTCATTAGTTGAGTGGTAACATGTTCTTTGCAAGATCTGAAAGTCTTCGACTAGATCTCTGATGGGATATGGGTGTAAACTGCCTACAAGTCTTAAACTAGGACGAAACAGCTGTCCAGTACTCCGAAGTTTTCAATGGTACTCCAACTGACGTTAGTCCGTGATTAATTACACTTTGAGATCAATCTATCCCCACGATAATCTAGCTTGAATTCTTAAGAATGGCGTTTGTATGCAACATTTCTAGTGGATTGTAGGATGATTGCTACTGTTTTTCGAAGTTTGGTAGCTTTGAGTGTTTTTCATAAGTATGTCACGTAAAAGATGACTGGTATCGGTGGAAATCAAATATGAAACAACAGTCAACATTGTTATCCTGTTTACTGATGTCTGTTGATTCTTTACAGAGCGTTTTATGTATTACGTGAAAAGCAAAACTGAAATATGTGGACTCAGTAATTCAGGTAGCCTTTGGGAATGAAAGAACATTTTTGAAGAGAATTCGTAAGCAGTAGTTAACAGATTGACTTATATTTTCCTAATTATGGATTAGGTATGTATAGGAATAGTCTTAACGTGATGTTAAAAATTTTCCTACAAATTGTTGGATACCTTGAATGCGAGCCTTGCGGTAAGTTTTATGCTGACATTTTCTATAAAACTGTTGTAAATAACATCCATTACTGAATCCGCACAACGTTTTTACCTTTCAAACCAAAGTACATGTAGTGGCTGTGATCTGCATTTCAGTCCAGTGGAAGCATGGAGTAGCGTTTCATTAATTGACTGTGGACAATTAGGAGGAAGCCGTGGACCTAGGTTCGTGCTTGTTGGTAATCGTCAGCGAGGCACATCTGCAACCTTCATGGAACGGATATCCTTTCAGATGTTTGAACACATGTCACTTAGTGCTGCAGCTGGAGACGTCACTACTGAGCTATTCAGGATGCAGTTAACCTCCCGTAGTAATCGATTAGACACATTGATGTATCACTTAAGACTAGTCTTCATGGAGTGAGTTACTCTATAGTGGCTAGTCAATGGATTGTCTCATTGTTATCGAGTTTTGATGAATATCTTTATTTCGTGGAGTTTTACTGAGGTTTTTTCGTAATTGTGGACTTCATTACGGCTTTAGAGAAGTATAATCTTATTTGTATTTTATAGGGTGGAGTAAGCTACTCACCTCATACGTTTTATTCTCAACTCTCGCTTTTGAAAAACAAACCTCTTTACGCTTAAATGTACCTACAGTAAATGTATTCAGTTGAAGCTTTCAATGACTGCCTAATACACTTTTGTCATCTGATCTAGCTTCGACACCACAGTGACAGTATAAGTAAACTCTGGTTTCAGTAATTCCATCGGGATCCTCCGGATATTTGTAGCCTAAATTTATTCCGTTTTCAAGCGTGCATACAAACGATTCACAATAAATGAATCTGATTGTTCTACATAAGCTCAATGGAGACGTATCCTACGAGTATACCTATAGACACTTGATAAACTTTGACTGAGCCTATGAATACTATTAGTCTCAATTCAGCTGTGTTATTTTTGAACAACTATACGAAACCAGAGTCATGGACAGAAATGTAGCTTTGCATTTATGGCCGTTCCAGGAGCTCTTTTTATGGTGAGCTGACTGTTTTTCATCTGATGGTTGACCAGGAACCATATTATCATGGATGCATCTTTTACCGCCTTATTTACATAATTACATATCGACAGCCTCCTCACACATATAAACTCAGTAGTAGGCACAATTCAATTCACTCACGAGGCAGAAAATGAGCAAGAAAAATTAGTTATGTTGGATTGCAGAATAAAACGAAGGACAGACGGTGGTGTAAATACTACCATCTACAGGAAACCGACACATTTTAGCAGGTATCTAGACTTTAGGTCAACTCATTCAGTATCAGTTAAGGCAAAAAGCTCACTAGTCAGTGCAAGGACAGAAACAAGTAATTGAAACACACAAAAGAAGTGTTATTAATTATCCTCTGCAGTTTATCATGAAGTTCGTAAGAACACATAAGAAACAAATAATAGTGACAACATGAGTAAAAACGGGTTCAGAGCCTCCTCTGTGTTGCTATATAAGGAAAGAACATCAGAAACTTTAAGTAGGGTTCTCAACAAGGTTAGAATTAGGAT